TTATTGTAAAAATATTCAGAAAAATAGAGGCAAGTATAAAATGAAAATCACTCAATTTTGCAACACCCAGAGATAACTTATCCTTACAACATATATTATTTAATCCTTAAAAATATTTTTCTATAGGGCGCCTGGGTGGCTCAGTTGGTTAAGCGACTGCCTTCGGCTCAGGTCATGATCCTGGAGTCCCGGGATTGAGTCCTGCATCGGGCTCCCTGATCAGCAGGGAGTCTGCTTCTCCCTCTCCCGCTCCCCCCTCTTGTGCTCTTTCTCTCTCTCTCTCTCAAATAAATAAATAAAATCTTTAAAAAAAAAAAATTTTTTTTCTATATATAGATACAAACCCGTTTTATTTACGATAATAGACTGTTAACTATTTTCTCCTGTTCTCAATATATCATGAACATTTTCCATGTTAATAAATAGACTTCCACACAATTTTTTTAATATATTAGTTGAAGTTTAGTTGACATACAATGTTATATTAGTTTCAGGTGTATAAGATAGAAATTCAACAATTCTTGTATATTACACGGTGTTCACGGCCATATGTGTAGTTACCATTTGTCACCATACAACATTATTACAATATTGTTGACTATATTACCTATGCTATACTTTTCATCCCTGTGATTTACTCACTAGAAGTTTGTGCCTCTAATCCCCTTCACCTATTTCACCCATCCCCTCACCCCTCCTTCAACACTGAATTTGAAGTCTGAATTAGCACCATGTTATATGGAGACACCATAACATATTTTAACTCCTTACTATTAATAAATATTTAGGTTGTTTCCATTTTTTGTTATTACAAACAATATTGCAACAAATATATTTATACTGTCATCATAGTCTAATAATTATTTTAGGATGTATTCCTAGAAGTGGAATTGTAGTATTAAAGACGAGGAAATTTTTAGAACTTTAAAACATTTTACCAAATTTACTTCCACATAAGCTCTAATATATGCTGCTCTTTTTCCCACACCTTCACTAACTCTAGGTGTTATTCTATTCATTTTTCCCAGTCTAATGAGGGGGGAAAAGAGCTTTTATTTTTAAAACTAATCATGTTGAACATCTTTGTATACTCATTGGCCATTTTTATTGCTGTTGGAAAACAGGTTGTAAAAGTGCTTTCTTTAGTTTTCATGTAAAAGAATTTCTAATGTTACAATCTTTGCCTATATTTTTTGGAAAATATAGATCACTTTTATTATATCCATTTTAGAGACAATGAAACTGATAGTATAGAAGTATTCAATTACTGATACCTAAGCAAAATAATCAGCCTTGATTCTTCCTAGCAAGTTTTTATATTGCAATATCTTAGCATATTAATCTGTAGCCTGGTTGCTTGCTGTTCTCTTAAATATATCATGGTTCAAAAACAATGTATTTTCTGGGGCGCCTGGGTGGCTCAGTTGGTTAAGCGACTGCCTTCGGCTCAGGTCATGATCCGGGAGTCCCGGGATCGAGTCCCGCATCGGGCTCCCTGCT